CGCAAAAAGGAAGAACGAAATCAGTTTGCACCCAGAGAGACTGCATAATGCAAATCAAAATGCAACGGTAAATTACATCTGAGCACATAAGAACGTACCTTAAGGCCTTCGTTAAGTGTCTCGTTAACGAAATCTTTGGCTGGAATAAACGGTTTGCGACAGTCGTTTGGCGAAAGACGTAGGGCTTTGGCTAAAGCATCTTCTGGAAGTGGAACACGAGGACGTCTGGTTCGATGCTGCGCGAATACAAGAAATAAACCAACCAAGAAGAATTAACAGAACAGCCTCGAGGAAAGAAGAACACAACATATTTTTGTATTAAAGTAATAACTTCATTTAGCGGAATATAATAATTGGAAGAGTAATTGTGGTGCCAAAAATGGATTCACGTATGCGTCTTGCGTATGTATCTTGCCGCAAATATAAACAACCGGTCGGGGAAGTCAAAATAAGACTGAAATGACAACAAGTGGGAGGATAAACTGATTTGAGACGTATTTCATCGTGCAACATGTGTTTTGAATTTTTACTTGATAAAAAAGTGCACCACTCATTCCAGGATCCGCTCGTTATGTTTATCGTCGAAAACGATGGTTTGCATGTTAATCATTTTGTCGGATACTAAAAATCACAAACGATTTGGTAAAATCGATTATTGAAACTTTAATCGGACAATCGTATAGAATCAAATACCGAACGAATGTGAGGCATAATTCTCAAAATCATGTGTGAACAGTAAAGAGGAAACAATGGGAAATCAAGCAATAGGAGGAAGCAAAAGACTGCCTGTGGAAAGAACAAGTGCACAGTAAATCTCGAACCACTTCGCTTACATGAACGCGATGCCACAAGTTGACGACCAAGACAGGCTATGTCTTAAACACTCAGATGCCTCTAGTGAGGTTCTCCCGATGAGGAACTTCGGCACTTTGATATTGCGTTCCTCACTGATTGTGTACCCGTCATTTATTGTGCTACTCTTTCGTGGTCCTACTTGTTTTCGGAGGCCCTGTCGTTCCTCATAATATGGAATCTTTCTTACATAACTAACTCGTCCAACACGGAATAGCAACAAAGAAACGATTTGTGTTGCATGTGAAAATAGCAGATGGTTTACACTAATGAACAGGAATGAATCCTGAAGGTGATAATCCAAATTAACATGCCGACGATCGGCTGTGATTTGACGATCGATAAGCTGATCACACCAAAAGGCTTGTTCACTGTTATCATGTGTAGAACGAACATCACGCGGTAGCAGACGTCTTGTGATCGGGATGAGACTTCATAATGAATAAACGGTCACCGGCGCACTGATTAATAACTTGCCTCTACCAATCAATACCAGTTAATCAGCCTTCTCGCCACTTTCCTGTCGTCAGAAGAATTTACAGGGAATGTAGCAGAAAACGATTTTCCACATGCAACCGCGTCGAGTCATGAACGGAAGCATGTTCTCCAAACCGAAATGAAATGANGTATTACTTACATTTGTTGCGTGCGGACACAAGTTGGTTATTAAATATCTGTTATATATATATATATATTTGCCTGACGAGCGGCAAGAACCGCGAAACCGGTCGTGTGCTTCCAGGGAAATTTTGTCCAGTCATTCACATACTACTTATTATCAAATATATACGGTCGATTGTGATGCACTAAAATATTTCCTGTATGATCAAATGGAGTTGTATTATATTTATCATCTGTATTAATGTTTTAGGTATGGACAATAATTTATATCTTGCCTCCATTCCTGCTTAGTGGCTGGACACCCTAGCAGTACCCATCCATCAAACCCCAATGCATATGCACTGCGAGTTTGGCAGTGATCAGTGAAATTCGTTTCTCTGTATTTCGCTGTACGATGATGATGATATCTTGTCTACTTCGATCTACTTAGTTTCTAGTCTGTATAAGTGTCAGTTAAACATGCCTGACCTTGGGTACAAAGATTGAATGATCTGAGCATGAAAACCACAAACTTTATCAAGTATGACGACGTAATATTTTCCAATAGGAATGACTCAAGAATTATCCCAAGCTATTTCCATAAACCCTTGCCATCTCGCTTATTTGTAATGAGGCATTATTTTATCTAGTGTAAAATCCATTATAGCAACTCTATTGGATAACCAAATGAAATTCTTTCACAACCCAGAGAAATTGCATTAAATAAGGTCTCATAATAATAATCCTTGTTTGATATCTAACTCACTGAATTCGAGAAATATCACTTCCATTAAAATCAACCTTGAAATCAAGGTCATTTTTGTGCACAGCTTTGGATGTTCGAAATGTTGCCATTATAATGAAGCAAGCAGCGCTCGAAACCAAACGTTCCCGTTCCATTTTCTTCAGTTACCTCTTAACTCATCATGGTCTACTACCACTACTGATGAAATGGGAGTATCCACTAAATTCTGCACCATTCCATCTGCTGAGTATAAACGAATCACGAAAATCACTGCTGTAAAGACTCACCAAGGCTTTTTTATTATTATTTGGAGAAACAATTTACTCCAGTATAAATGCTGTTGCCTATACGAACCGACAAGTGCTTCAAAGGGACCCGTTGATTCAATTTCGATTAGACCTGCATATATATATATATATATATATATATCATAATGAGTAGTATCTGAATAACTCCACAAAATTTCACCGGAAATATGTGTGAAGTATGTTCTACTAGTAAAAAAATTCTCGGAGTAGAGACAAGGTAATATTGTTCAATCCAGCAGCACGGAGTAGAGAAAAAAGCCTGCCCCTGTCGTTACAATTGAATACATTACTGTAGTCGAGGAGAGGCACACGAAATGCTGTATTATGCCTATTTAGGGATTACAAAATGAAGTTGACCAAGTGCACAAGGGCGTCCAAGGTAGGATGTTGTTTCCGATCAGCGAATTGTCCGTGATCAGCCTGCAGTGCTGGGAAATATGTTCCTAAGTATAAAATTTTCGAAATTCTTTAGTACAGGCAATGGGATGAAATTTTCCGGCCTCATTCTTTCGGACTGGTGTGATGGACGCGGGTCTCAAACAGGCGGCAACTTGTTTTGTTTCTCAAACCAACGGTCGAAAATAACGGCAAGTGGCTCCGACAGATAATAAGCACAGCCCCTGAGGACGACTGGACGTTGTTTGTCGAGACCGGAAGGTTTTGATGTTTTGAGGCGCATCAGCTGTGCCCGCACCTGATTAGAATCCACATGAAAAACGTCACGACGGCCAGCTGAGTGGAAAGATGAATTCAATACTTCATTCTGGATTGACGTGGAAAACATGCAGTTGAGGTTCGAGCAGTCCGACTTTGTTCCACAGAGTTTTCTTAGCACTCCAGAGTTGCTTGCAATTCCGATCACCAAGCAGGATTTCAGTGTAGAATATATTAAGATTTTGGATCTCATTCTTAATCAACATTGGCTTTTGTTTAACTAAAACACGGTCACGATTTTTATACGCCCATTCTTTGATTTTTCTGGGGTCTTCAAAGTGGAGGAAGAAAATCTGGCGGGGCTGATGTACATAGGGACGATCAAGCAGCAGAGCCCAAAGTAAAAGTTCAAATAGCTAGTAAGGTGTTCACACTTAATCGAGGCGCTTGGGTGAAAAAAATTTGTACGAGATCATTTCCTTCAGTGATGCAAAGTGGGCCGGGTGGCACAGCCTATGAAAAATCTTACGGCTGGATGCTCTTGTCAGTGCACTATGATGTTTCTTTGAGTAGACTTTTGGCAGAACATTTACAATACAACGATCGGAGTTTGCCAGAGGGGCTCCTCTTCGCACAGCAAACAGGAAGGATCGTTCGAAAACATAAGGTCAAGCTGCGCGTTTCGTTTTGTGGGGAAATTTTCAAGATTGTGAAGACAGATGCAAGTCACGAAATAAACATCCGTATGGTTAAAATCATCGCCAACAATAAAAAGAGAGCGTTCCGTGTAGCTATAAAGTTCGGATACAAACAAATTAGCAAACATTTGTACATCAGAAGTTGCACCGGAGGGCGCGATGTAAATGTGCGATGCTACGATAGAACGGCATTTACTAAGAAAACGGGGTTTACATTCAACCGCAGTACATAAGACGTGTCCTATGTTGTAGGTGAAGATAATCTTTATAGGCTGACAAGAAAAAGACTTCGTGTAGGTTATGATATTATCGCCACGATTTGGTAGTAAACAGTTTCTATCCAACCGGTGCATATCAAACAAATGCAGCTAAACCAAACAGGCATTGATGTCAGTATACGACCAAGTTCCTTGCAGCACAATTTCAGGTAATGCATGATATTTTTCATCCTTATCAATTTTGTGAAGTCGCTCATTTTGCCAAATCGCGATCGTACGTTTGATGGGCAAATAGCAGGGATAGACATTTGCTTTGGTTTTGTATCATGTAAGGCCATTTGCCAGCCAGCTCGGTGCTTTTTGAGGAAACCTGACCTAGACGGTCTGCATTTTTGTATATGTATTTAACTTGACGACTGAACTGATAAAGGATGCCAGTCTTGAGCGATAACACAAATGGTTTTCAATTCTTTCACGTTTCCGGGGTGTGCGTAATCATAAGAGCGATGAAAGAAATTTGATTAAAAAAAATTAAATGCAATGTGACAAACGTTGATAAATTAGCCATTGGAGCACAAATGCAGGACGGCCGAATTTCGAAGATCCCACAACATGTATTGTGTATATATATATATATATATATATATATATATGGGGA